ACAGTGATGAAACACGTGGGGCCTCACAGGATGGGGGTGGAGCCGGCCCTTTCCTCCCCATCCCAACAAGACCTCATGTCAACATCCACTAACTGCCTCTCTGACTTATAATCAAGCTGCTTAATGGCCATGATCCCAGACACTCAGAAACAAATCTCGGAACCCAGTGGCTTTTGGCAGAGATGCATTTGGACCCCGCAGTAGGTTACTGTCGCTGGGCCATTCCAGGGGGGAATGGGTGCTGTTCCTCTGACTGCACCCCTTAGGCGGCTTGGTGGTCGCCATCCTCCAGAGGCCACTGGACAGTCAGGTTTTGGCCCTCAGTGATGAGACACGTGGGGCCTCATGGGATTGGGGTGGAGCCGGCCCTTTCCTCTCTGTCCCAACAAGACTTCGAGTCGCCACCCACTAACAGCCTTTCTGACTCCTGACCAAGCTGCTTAACGGCCATGATCCAAGAGACTCAGGAACAAATCTAGAAACCCAGCAGGTTATGGTAGAAATCCCTCCAGATTTAATTGTTAAAATTTCGGAATTTCACTACTGCAGCCATGCGACATCATATGTTATTCATAACCACCAATAAAAAACAAATTGTCTACTGTTGCCTTTTCAGCAGATCTGAGTGTTGGGGTAAATCCCAAATAATAATGGTGGGCCTGGTGTCAAAAAATTGAATGTGATCAAAGTAGAGAGAGAATAATGTGGAAATCATCTGCTCCACAGGTAGGGGGAGGGTGTGGGATGGGGTTATACTGGGGTTTTGGGGGTGGAGAATGGTGAAGGTACGGGTGTTTCATTGTATGACTGAGACTTAAACCCTAAAGCTTTGTAACTGCTATCATGGTGATCCAATAAATAAAATTATAAAAAAATGGAGCGATAGCACAGCGGTAGGGCATTTGCCTTGCACTCAGCCAACATGGCCGACCCGAGTTCGATTCCTCTGCCCCTCTCGGAGAGCCCAGCAAGCTACCGAGAGTATATCGCCCGCACGGCAGAGCCTGGCAAGCTCCCCGTGACGTATTCGATATGCCAAACACAGTAACAACAAAGTCTCCAATGGAGACGTTACTGGGCCTGCTCGAGCAAATCGATGAACAATGGGAGGGCCTTTACCTTTACCTTTACCTTTTATAAAAGAAAATGGAGTGATAGCACAGTGGTAGGGTGTTTGCCTTGCATGCAGCCAACATGGCCGACCCGAGTTCGATTCCTCTGCCCCTTGCATGCAGCCAACATGGCCGACCCGAGTTTGATTCCTCTGCCCCTCTCGGAGAGCCCAGCAAGCTACCGAGAGTATATCACCCGCACGGCAGAGCCTGGCAAGCTCCCCGTGACGTATTCGATATGCCAAACACAGTAACAACAAAGTCTCCAATGGAGACGTTACTGGGCCCACTCGAGCAAATCGATGATCAATGGGAGGGCCTTTACTTTACTTTACTTTTACTTATAAAAAAAATGGAAAAAAAATGTAAGGTGGAGTTCATGCCCAATTCAATCAGCTAATCAGTGGCTGAATAAATAGCAGTACTCCTACATAAAAAGAAAAAAGAGGCAATCCTTGGATAGGTCAGTCTTCTTGAGGTTCTGGTCTGATTCTACTGTTCCCTGTTTCAGGAACATCAATACCCAGACTCCAGCATGTCAAAGTCAGTCTCCTGCCACTCAGCCAACATCTGCCCCAGAGATCTGCTCTCATATGGCTCCAACTCTCCCTCTACTTTCCTGACAAGTTAGGAGGTTTGTTTTTTCCAAGACCCCTGAGAGGCCCTTGTCGAATTCTTTTTCTTCCACTCAATCTATTTGTTTCTAAGGCTACTCACCCTCCCAGACCCTTTCAAACCCTGTCTCCTCTGAGCCACTGCAACAGCCTCTCTTAGCTGTGTCCTGCTGTAATCAGCTTCTTCCATGGTGTGCTCCTTATCCTCCTCTAGAGGGTGGCTCAAAGATCCTTCTCATCTCACTTTTCTCCTATGGATCCTTCATATATAGAATGTGCCCTGGATACGCTTACCTCCTTCACTGTGTTTCTGGAGATACGGCTCCACATACGTTATGTGACCTTAAATATAAGGCTCTCTGAGCACACCAAGTTTCAGTTTCCTAGACTGTCAAATAGGGATTAGACAATATCTCATGGGTAAGGCACTGGCAAGGGTTAGACATGAATAAGGAAGATACCAGGTACGAATTTCCTGCCTGCAACCCTATCTCTTTTGTAGCATCACTCTGTAGGGTCAAGACTACAGTGAGGCAAGTGACTGGCCCATCATTAGAGGCAAAAATTCCTCAGGATGCAGTCTCAGGCCGTCTGCCCCACACTCTGCTCTCCTGCTGCTTTCTTGCACATGAGACTCTGCCTCTCCAAAAGGGAATGCCCTGCTACAGAGGCAGGGTGGGGTGAGGAGGATGGGGTAGGGGGGGTGGAAGGGATACAGGGATCATTGGTGGTAGAGAATGGGTACTGGTGAAGGGATGGGTACTCGATCATTGTACGACTGAAAAGTAAGCATGGAAGTTTGTAAGTTTGTAACTGTACCCCATGGTGATTCATTTAAAAAAATAAAAATGAAAAAAAATTTTAAAAAAGACTCTTCCTCTCTGCAGCCTGTCCCATCCCTATGCCCTAGCCCACATTCATCCTTTTGAGTTTCGCCTCAGGACGAGGTCCTAGAGTTAGAATCCTATAGTTAAGGCCTGGGTGTCATTGACCTGGTCTTGGACAGCTGATTCTTGGTGGTCTCTCCGTTAGAGGCAGCACTCTTCCTGAGAAAGAGACCCCAAACACAGACATCAGCCTAAGTGGACACCCAGTGACCAAGCTATTTCCATTCTTCTAACTTGTTTGCTCATTTCTTTTCTTATTAGTGAAACACCATGAGGTACAGTTGTAGACTTACAAACTTTCATGCTTGGGTTTCAGTTATACAATGATCGAGTACCCATCCCTCCACCAGTGCCCATTCTCCACCAACAATGATCCCAGTAGCCCTCCCATCCCCCCACCCTGGCTTGGGGTTGGAACGATAGCACAGCGGTAGGGCATTTGCCTTGCGCGCAGCCAGCCGGGCCGAGCCAGGTTCTATTCTTCCGCCCCTCTTGGAGAGCCGGGCAAGCTACCAAGAGTATCTTGCCTGCACGGCAAAGCCTGGCAAGCTACCTGTGACGTACTCAATATGCCAAACACAGTAACAACAAATCTCAAAATGGAGATGTTACTGGGCCCACTCCAGCGAATCGATGAACAATGGGAGGACAGTGACAGTGATCATCTGACTTGATACCTGTCCATCAAGACTTTCTGTCCCTTCCAACCCTGCTTGTGCTCATACCTCCAGTCACTTTTTCTTTTCTTTTTTTTTCTTTTCTTTTCTTATTAGTGAAACACCATGAGGCACAGTTGTAGACTTACAAACTTTCATGCTTGGGTTTCAGTTATACAATGATCGAGTACCCATCCCTCCACCAGTGCCCATTCTCTACCACCAATGATCCCAGTAGCCCTCCCATCCCCCCACCTTGCCTTTGTGGCAGGCATTCCCTTTTGCTCTCTCCTTTAGGGTGTTGTGGTTTGCAATAGAGGTATTGAGTGGGCATCATGTTCGGTCTATAGTCTACTTTCAGCATGCATCTCGCATCCTGAGCAAATCCTCCAAACATCCTTTACTTGGTATTCCCTTCTCTATCTGAGCTGCCTTTTCCCCCAGCATGTGACGCCGGCTTCTCAGCCACTTATGAAACCAATCCTGCTCCTCATGGTCTGTCTTCCAAGTCTTTCCTCTAACATTACCACCTCCAGGAAGTCTTCTAAGTCCCACACTGCACACCCCTGGTCTCAGCCTCTTCTCTTTGAGGGCTTCCTCTCTTAGAAGGGAGAGAGCCCTTCTAAAGTGCAGGGCTATCCTAAAAGAATATCCAGAATACTCTGTCCTTAAAGAAGACTAATGGGAAACAGGATTAGGCGACCTGAAGCCTTGCTGTGCCCACTTATCCCTGAACTGGTCCCAATGGGTCTAGGAAATTCTGTTGACTTATTGATGGTGACTCTCTGCATGACATTTCCCAAGTTCTCTTTCTTGGGTGACTGGCCTGGGGACGCTCCTGAGACAGTGATAAACCTGAGTTAGCACAACTTGGCCCCTGAGTCATGGAGCTGGAATGCATTAGAGAAAATTGACAGGAAGAGCTGGGCTACAGCGGCAGACAAGACAGATGGAACTGTAGCAGGAGGTCACAGTGAGCTGACCTGGGTGCTGCTCCCACTGTCCTTGCCATCCAGTTTTCCCTTCTGCCTTACGGGGTGGGCCTTACCTGTACCACTGTCTGGTAGGTGAGGCCAGCCCTATGGCACCTGCTCAGGGGCATGGTCAGTGAGAGACAGGGGAAAAGGCTGCCCAGGGTGCCCCTTCAGGCTGCTTCCCCGCTACCAATGTGGGGCTGGTCACCCAGGTCTCAGAGAATATTTACAGCTGGAGTCACCCCAAGCCAGGAGCCTTGGCCTGTCTCATATCAGAATAGTAGACTGATAGGCTTTTGACCTGATAGGGACCCAGGGTTCTGTTATTTGCCCATCGGGGTACAGGACATGGATCATCATCCAGGAGGAACCAGATAGAAAAGTCTCCCCCCCACACACAACCCCCAGGAGAGATGCAGAGCAAGACTGAGGACCCTGCAGGCAGCTACCACCCTAGGCCTTGGGGTGCAAGTTCTGGTGCAAATTCAATCTACAATCGGGTTCATGCATGTGTGTGTGTGTGCATATACACAGGCATGCACTTCATTCTTACATCCCTGTATACATCAACACATGCAAGGGATCCCCCACACTGCTTCATGAGGTAAGCCACTCATAGACACACCGGAACCCCTTCCCCATCCCTGCACTCACACCCAGATACTACACACGTGCATTCAGTCATGCCCCCAACCCAACATCCAACACAGCCTGTACCCTCTGCCCTGCGCCCCAGGACAGGAGGACTGGGGCTCACCTCGTGCCTGGAGGGCCTCCGCTCAGTCCCATCAATTGGCTGGGTTCAGACAGGAACACTGGGGGAGCAGGCTCCTGGGACCAAGAGGGGAAGAGCAACTGCCTCTGTTTTACTCTTCCAGAGAGAAAGGGTGGGGGAGGGAGGCGGAAGAGCCTGTTGCTCTTAGGAAGGAAGGAGGTGGGGGAGAGCTTGGAACCCCCAGCAATTCTCCCTCCCTCTACTGTAGGGGCACGGGGAGGATGGAAGGTACTGTGGCATCATCACCGGGGCTCCTGATGTTATGACGGGACTTCCAGTGGGGGGCTTGTCTTGTCAGCAGACACCGCTGCTGCACTCGCCAGTCAAGTCCCCCGCCCCGCCCTCCCGCCCGCCCTGCTGATCCCTCCTCTGCCGAGCCCAGCGGAGCAGCTGCTCCTGCTTACCTGGCCGGAGCAGAGGGACTTGGGTTTTGAGAACACAGGCTCCGGCCGCCAGAGGCTTTGGGGACAGTAACGCTCCAGGCTCCAGGCGGGCAGCAGTCACGAGCCCAGCAACAGAGGCTGGACAGCCTGCAGAGCTCTTGGCCACCAGGGTTGCTGGAGGACTGACAAGAGGTGCTGGGGGGCCCCCAAGAGGTGGAAGGAACAGGTGTCAGGGATGGAGGGGGGAGCTTGAGAGAGGGAGGAGGCAGGGACAGAGGAGAGAGAGAGAGAGAGAGAGAGAGAGAGAGAGAGAGAGAGAGAGAGAGAGAGAGAGAGAGAGAGAGAGAGAGAGAAGAGAGAGAGAGGAGAGGCAGAGAGAGAATGGAGAGGGAGAGGAAAGAGGAGAGAGAGGAGAAAGAGGAGAGAGAGGAGAGAGAGAGAGGGGGGGAGAGAGAGGAAAGGAGGGAGGGAGAAGCCATCACTGGCACTCCAGAAAACCGGGAGGGAGGAGGGGAGGAGGTGGAGAGGCAGGACATACATGTGGAGAGCAGCCTAGCTCTGCTCTTCCACTTCTGATGCTGAAACATCCAGAGAAACCCTGGCTCTCGCTGAAGCCCCCTCCCCACTAGTGCTGGCACACAGACCCACCCCCACAAACACACCCAGATTCCCCAGGAGCCTGCCATGCAGCACAGCACCTTGGGACAGCCCAGCTGCAATCGGCCCTTACCTTGCCTCAGAAGCAACATGTGTCTGGGCCCGTGCTTCCCCTGCCTGTCCCTGCACGCAGAGCTGCTGGAGGGAGCGCCCGGAGCTGGGCTTCAGTGCCCAAGGCTGGCACCCACTGCCCTGGCAGCTGGCTTGGCGGATGCCCACATTGCGATGGCTGGCAAGGTGGCCTGCAGGAAGCAGAGCCATTTGTTTTTTCAGCATGTAACCATGACAATCACCCCATGCACACCACTGGGGCCCTGCTCCCCCTCACTCCTGGGCCCTCCCCTTTTTGTCAGAGCTTAAGGGAGAGGCCACTCAGCAACCTGGCTCATTTCTGTTGGGGCTGCTGGAGGGGTCCTGGCCAGCCATTACTGGGCTGCTCCTTTCTGGGGATGGGGCCATGTTTCCAGGATTTGGTACTGGGAAGTGTCTGCAGTGACAGTGCCGCGTTGGGCCCCCTAGGTCTCCCTGTGGCCCCCTGCCACCGCCAAGAGTTCATTGAGAGCCACGCCATAGGATCTGTCGGTCTGTCTCCCCAAGGTCATGCTATGGCTGAGCTGATAACTCTGGGCTCATAGTCTGGGCCTGTCCAGCCTCAGAGTCCCACAGTCAGGGTTTCCTGCTCACGCACGCCACAGCCACGAGGGAAACTGTGGAGTTGAAGCTCTGGCCTTAGGGGACTAGAGGCAGCCCTGAGACCTGGAGGCTATCTGGGGTCCAGAATAGCAGTCAGGGGTTGAGAGCAGAGCTACAGGGCCTGGCACGGAGAAGGTAGGTGCCCAAGGATCAGGCCTCTACCAAGGACCAGGCAGAGCCAGAGATCACACACCCACATTCGTTTAACCCTCCTAGAATCCCAAGGAGGGCATGCTCTCCCCATTTAAAGAGAAATTGGCTAAGAGAAGTAGAGTGATATGCCCGGGGCCACACAGCACATGGAAGGGTCAGCATTTAAATCCAGATCTGTGACTCCATCTGCCCAGCCTGCCTCTCTGACCTCACATCAGGCAGGTGACTTGTCTCTGTGGATGCTGGAGGAGGGTGGGGGCCCAGGGGGCAAGGCAGAGCAGAGGTGCTGTGTGAGTTCAAAAACTCCCTGCACAGGTAACTGATGGCCTCTTTCCTTAGCTGGACACCTGCCAATCGACAATCCCATAATTAGGAAGTCACATCTGGTTTTTCTTGGAAACAAAATGAGGGTTCCTAAGAGCTTAAAGTCTCCTCAACCCCCAGACCTTTGCTGAATGTCTTCCTGGAACTCTGAGTCTTCTGGCCCACCCTGGCATGTGTCAGTCAGCTAAGAGGAAATGGTTTAGCAAGCGAATCTGTGAGACTAGCCAGTTGAGGGAAATTTGGGAAGTGGGCCCTGGGAAGAGGGAATAAAAGGGTGGGAGGGGAGGCGAGTCAGCAGACACACTTTTCCAACCTGGTCATTTTCCCAGTACTGTCTCTGGCCTTCTGCTGGGTGATCAGCCGCACCCCGCCCCCGCCCTTCCCCCCAAGTCAACATTGCTTGCTTTACTGGTATGAAGACAGGGAAAGAGAGGAGGACTACCCTGGTCACCTGGACGTGCCAGCCAAGGTCCGGGCCGCTTCTCCTTGCTTCCTCCAGGGTTATTCGCAGGAGTGTGCCAGTCTCCTGTTTTCAGGGCAGAAATCAGGGGCAGCGAGAGAACGGGCTGTGTGCAGAGGGGAAGCGGGGTCCCCGCAGAGGCAGGCGATGCCTCGCATCCCCCAACACACCTCTTTTCCCACCCACCCCACTGTTTGCTGGCTTGGAAGCAGTTGTGAGACTGTTTCTGCCCACACAGAGGAAAACAAACCTTGGAACTGTGTACTCCATAGAGCCTAAGTGAGAAGGAAGAGCTGGGGGCGGGGCAGGGCAGGTTGGCAGAGGCAAAGGAGATGGGGAAGGGGCGGTGCTGGGTCTTTCCCTAGAGGGACCCAAGCAGAGCTTCCAAGACCACCCTGTCTCAGGAGGAGTTTCTGATCGGGATCTGGCTGACCATGGCGGATGCGTGTGAGAGGGGGGTGGGTCCTATCTTTGGAGGCAGTTGGACTGACATGAGACCATTTTGAAAAAAAAAAAATCATGAGCTCTCTTGCTTCCCTTCCCCACTTTACCTTTCCAAGCCTTCATGTCACCAGCAGGAATTGTGTGACCCTTCTCAGCCCTTTGTTCGTCCCTGGATCCATGTCCTATACCATACCACCTGGTGCTCCTTCCTTTCGCCAACTGGTCCTCTCTGACTGCTTCCCTTCACCTTGTCTGCTGCCCGTGACTGCCCCTGAGACAGAAGGGCCTAATGAAGTTTTGTAAGCCTGATTGGACTCCTGCAGAACAGCACAGTGCCTGCTGGTGCCAGAGGAAGAGGCACTGCACACAGAGCAGGTCAAGCTCTGGTCAAGCCCTGCTGAGACCCACTTACCCTTAACTGACCCTGAATAGAAATTTTTAGTTTGGGGTGATAGTACTGCAAGTAAGGCATTTGCCTTGAATGTGGCTGACCCTGGTTCCATCCCTGGCACCACATATGTTCCGTAGACCACTGCTGGGCGTGATCCCTGAGCACAGAGCAGGAGTAAGCCCTGAGTATTGCCAGGTAAATCCCACCCCTTGGCTAACCCCTCCCCTATCCCCCAAAGCCCCCGATTTTTGTTTTAAGTCACAGGGTTTGGAGTGGTTGGCTTTGCAGCATTTTATGGTGACTGCTAACTGAGAAGCCACCTCATATCTTCCAGTTTCCTGATGTCTCTTGGGCACCTCCCTTGCTCTAACACACACACACACACACACACACACACACACACACACCACACACACACACACAAACACACACTTTAGCCCCTGGCTTCAGTTTCTGCCTCCTACCCAGGATCCCTGTCTCGAGTCAAGTCTTTCAATCCATCCCCACACAGCAGCCAGATCTTTGATCTTTGTAAGATCCAGTAATGGTTGTCCCTACCTGTCATCGCTCTTCAATCCAACCTCTCACCCTTGAATGACTCCTCCAAGGCTCTCAGTGAAGCTGTTCACTTCTAGGGATAGGGATACTGCTCAAAGAGGAGGTGCTTGGGCTTGACTTGTGGGGGGTCCTGAGTCTGATACCCCATGCTGCACGCTCCACCCCAGTCAGTACTGCACTAAGGCCCTGGTGGCACTAAGCATGGTGGGGCTTTAGTTAGTTTGTTTTAGGGCTACATCCAGTGATGCTCAGAGTTCACTCCTGGCTCTGTGATCAAGGATCACTCCTGAAAGTTCTGGGGAACCACATATGGGATGGTGAGGGTCAAATTTGGGTCTGCCATGTGCAAGACAAGCTCCCTACCCACTGTGCTATTGCTCCAGTCCCTTTGTGGTTTGTTGTTGCTGTTTGTAGATTGGTTGGTTTGTTCATGGCCCCAAGCACTGAATCAGCCTACCTGTACTGTGGAGCTGGTTTTCAGTGGGAGTGTCCCCCGCCCTGGGCAGCCTGAGCTCTGTGGGATGGAGACTGCCCCATAGGAATAAAAAGTTCCACTTGTTAGGTTAGCACATGGGGCCCTTTATGCTTTGAATCCACTCTCTGCTCCTGCTCCTGTGCAGTCTGCCATGTGGAGCCTACTTGTGGTTCCCTGAGCTTCCACTTCTCCCCACCCTCTGGGGTTCTGGGCTTTCTCCTGATGCCAAGAAAACATACTTACTGCCCTTTCTTTCTCGGGCTAAGATTCTTGTCCTGTGAAGGAGGCTTGAGGTACCCTCTCCAGGAGAAGGCCTTACTGTTTCAGGGTGTTCACCATCTCCACGTCATGTAGTAGGTGCTCAACTAATGTCATATGCGATGGATGAATGATGGGGTGAGAGTATGAACCTCTTCCAGGCAGTGTCATCTCACCTACACCTGTCTGGAGCATCTCATGCTGCTATTGACATATAACAGCTTCATATCTAGATGCTTAATAAAGGGATGAAAGAGGACATCCATATATCTCAACTCACTGTCCCAGAATCATGGAAAGTAGCCCCTCTCTTCCTCAGAAAGGGGGACACTGGGAAAGGGCATCTTGGGTCATTGAGAAGAAAGGGGGAGGGTGGGAGTGGTCTCTGGGGGGTCAGAGGCCATGAGGCTGGCTGCTCTGAATCCAGGCAATGGAATTTGTGTTGTTTGTGGAAAGCTTTTTACTTAAATGCCGAAATGTAAGGGCCAGAGCAATAATATAGTGGGTAAGGCTTTTGCCTTGCATGTGGCCAAGCCGGGTTCGATCCTTGACACCACATTTGGTCCTCTAAGCACTGCCAAGAGCAATTCAGACTGCAGCGCTAGGAGAGGCCCTGAGCACTTCAGGGTATGATCCCCCCCCAAAAAAAACAAAAAAAAAATGCTGAAATGGACCAAATCAGCATGCCTTTTATTATAGACAGTGGGGATTCATACAGCTCATCACCCAGCACAGTGCTCCCACAGTT